TTTCCAAGTGCAATTGTATTTGAAGTTGAAGTTAAATGTGTCTCAAGTTCAAGTGTGTGATGTGGTTGACATGAATTTTGTGATGGTCTAGGAAAAAGGGTAATGGTTGATGAGCTTTATCATGGAAGGTTATCAACTTCTTATCAAAAAACTAGTGAATGGATTGATGTTTCTTGATCTGGAAAATTTGATTTGAGGGAGGGTGTAGTTTTATTGGAGTTCCTTTATTGTGATTTTTGTGTTCTATATTGTATATGATAAACAATAAATACGATAAAATAGTAAATAAAACATACAAACAAACGTGTGGTCTGCCATCTTAAAGTGTTTGTTTGCTCCCCCTACTTTGCTATCCGCTTTGACAAATTATTTCCAGGATATAATAACCATGGAAATAATAAAAATCTAATGACAAATTTTCTGCATTGTTACCACATTGAAATGTTTTTTTAGGTCATTTGTTCAAACCTCTTTCACTTATTTATACATATTACATGCCTTTTCATAGAAAGGCACCAAACACAACTTTGAAATGCGATTTTTAGTTATATCTAACGGTTAACTAGTTATATCTTTTCAACAAATATAAATATTTTTTAAATTAAAATATCATACTATAAAAAACTACAAAAGTAAAAGTATATAATTTTATCGCATAAATATGCATTAAAAAAATATGACAGGTCAACCAACCTAACAGTCGGTTGTCTTCCACAAAAAGATTGTGTTTGTTTTGCAAGCCTCCTTCACGTGAAATTGCAGCTTTCATTTGCCTATATCCACCGAGTGTTTGGTAAACCTAACTGATAAGGTAGACTAATAAGTTAGTTGATAATTTATAAGTGAATTCGAGCTTATAACTGATAGCATATGACTTATGGCTGAAATGATAGCTGATATGGTAAAAGTGTGATAAAATTAACAGATAACTCAATTGATTTTTTTCTTTTCAATGGGTTTATTTGAAAAGTTATCAAAGAAGCTTATATAAGCTCGAGTTTTTTAAAAAGTTTGTCCTTGTTTAAATACCCACAGCTTATATACTAACCAAATAAGATATAAGCTACCTTACGTTACTTACCAATTAATTATTACTCAACTCTTCAAAGCGAAACATCCTTTGTGGAATGGTATGTCCATACTTTAGTCACAATAAATATTGAGTAAATTGTAATTTTAATCCTGTATGTTTCACTAACCCAACTTTTTCGTCCTCTTCGAATTGTGTTTGTGATTTTCGTCCCGTATGTTTGAAAAAGGTTACAAAAAGATCATTTTCATACATAAGGGACGAAATTAGAACTTTTTTCTGCAAAACATAAATGATCTTTTTGTTGTGAAAATGACCTTTTTGTAACTTTTTTGCAAATGTTAGAATATCACTTGTGAGTTGTTCCACATCATTCATACATGGAAAATAGACTCACCTTATAAGACTAATGGACTACTCCTCCTTTCACCAATTAGTTTTGGGATGGAACCTCATTTGAGCTTCATATGGGTTTTTCCCGTTTTTCCATGGTGCGCTTCATGATAGTGGGCCCGCTTCCGTTTTTCCCCAGTTTCTGTCATGGTATCAGAGCCGGTTCTAGTTTATGGGAGCCTACTTCTAGTAGGGCTTGGGCATCCAGCTCCGTATATGGGCTTGGGCTTTCGAAAGACTCACAAGTGAGGGGGCGTGTTAGAATATCACTTGTGGGATTGTGAGTTGTCCCACATCGTTCATACATGAAAAATAGACCCACCTTATAAGACTAATGGACTACTCTTGCTTCCACCAATTGATTTTGAGATGAAACCTCATTTGGGCTTCATATTGGCTTTTCCTGTTTTCCCATGATGTGCTTTATGGTAGTGGGTCCGCACCCGTTTTCCCTCAGTTCTGTCAGCAAACATACGAGACGAAAATAAAAAATGCAATTTACATGATGTGCTTCATGATAGTGGGTCCGCACCCGTTTTCCCTCAGTTCTGTGCAAACATACGAGACGAAAATAGATGAAAATAAAAAATGCAAACATACGAGACGAAAATAGACGAAAATAAAAAATGCAATTTAAAGAGGACGAAAAAATTATAATAGTGAAACATACAGAACTAAAATTACAATTTACTCATAAACATCAAACTAATTTGACAACATGATGATATCACATGCAGGCGCCATTATTGCAGCAAACTTTGTTGATATCACATGCAGGCGCCATTATTGCAGCAAACTTTGTTTTGACTGCGATCTTGCACGATGATGTTCACCATCATTTTCTTTTCTCACCTTCTAGGCCCCTTTCATAATTGATAATTATGGAAACACCTTTCTCAATATGAAAACACTTCAGTAGCATCTAATTAAGTAATTATACAATTCGTCTAATTGTTATTAATTAATGTACTATGTATATGCTTAGTACAATATACTTTTGTTCATCANAGAAAAGAAGAAATATTGTGATAACATTAGTACATTATCATAAATAAATGACTATTTATAAGTTTCGTTGTCAACAAATCAAATATCTTACGACATCCCAAATGCATAATCAGGAAAAAATCTTTCCATGGAGCTACAAATCATCACTAAACAAAAAACACAAGACTTATTATCTTCTACCTCTAACTCCTAGGATCAAACTTCTTCCTCAACTTACCCAACTCCTTAGAATCCAATCCAAACCCCTTCTTC